ACTGCAGGTTGGTGCAACCTTCCCAGCCACCGTCCCCTGCCACACGTGCACCTGCCTGTCTGTGGACACCCAGGGCCCGACGGTGCAGTGCAAGGAGGACACCTGCAACACCACCTGCCCCCAGGTGCCCCTGCCCCCCCGGGCCAGCCCAGACCCCCGGCGTGCCCGCACGGTGGCCGCCTCGTGTCATTGGCACCCAGGCTCCCTGGGCCAGTCTTTGAGCTCAGCTTCTGCCGGGGCCGTGAAGCAGGCCGAGTGCGGTAGGCGGGCGGGTGTGGCGATCTGCAGGCTGCTGGGGACTGGGGACTGGGGCCAGGTCCAGGAGGGCAGAAGCCCCCCCGGGCCAGCCCAGACCCCCGGCGTGCCCGCACGGTGGCCGCCTCGTGTCATTGGCACCCAGGCTCCCTGGGCCAGTCCTTGAGCTCAGCTTCTGCTGGGGCCGTGAAGCAGGCCGGGTGCGGTAGGCGGGCGGGTGTGGCGATCTGCAGGCTGCTGGGGACTGGGGACTGGGGCCAGGTCCAGGAGGGCAGAAGTAGACAGAGGGGGCTGGAAGCGGCGGTGAGGCTAAGCCAGGACGACGGGGTGAGGCCGCTTTCGCCCTCGTAGCCATGGACAGGGACATGCTTTCAGAGAGTGGGGGCTGCTAAGGAGGCTGCCAGGCCCTCGGGCTGTGACAAAGAGGGCAGGAGGGCTGGAGAGCGGGCTGGGGGTGCAGACCTGACCCCTCCAACCCCCAGGGCTCTGAATATGTGCGAGCAGCTGGGCATTGCTGCGGGGAATGCGTACGCACCGCCTGCCTCACGCCGGACGGCGGGCTGGTCCAGGTAAGCCGGGGCTCGGTCTCAGCCCTCCACCCGGAGACCCCCGCTCCGGCCCCTGTCTGCCCACGAGATGATCCCCACCCGGGCCTCTGCCCTCCCCTGTGCGTTTCAGCCTAATGAGACCTGGGTGGACAGCCGCGTAGACAACTGCACTGAGTACCGCTGCCAGGACGAGAGCGGGGTCCACATGCTGACCCCAAGGCCCGTGACCTGCCGCGACGTGTCCAGCTGCAGGGTGTGTGCCCAGGGGGGCTCCCGCCCGCTGACTACTTTCCTGCACTGCCTGGGAGGCCCCGCCCCACCGGGGAGACCACGCCCACCGCGCCCCGCCCTCCCGGA